TCAAGGCAGCTGTGATTCTCTGGAGGCTCATCATCTGTGGAGCCATGGTGATGTTCATGCAGGCTGGCTTCGCCATGGTGGAGTCCCTCCCTTGGAGCTTTGTGAGGTCTCGAAGCCGCATCCGAATGCTCCGAGACCCTGTGTCGTCAGGTCAGGCTGCTGCCGTGCCAAGAATGCCGCTGGGATGTGACGTCCCAAGGCTTTCAGAGCTTGAGACCCTGAGCCTCCGAGGTGCAAAACATTCTGCTGAAGAACCTGACCGATGTTTGCCTCGGCACCATCGGCTGGTGGATCTCGGGCTGGGCCTTCGCCTATGGTGGGCCAATGTCTTCCAGCAGAAGAGAGGTCATCTGCTGTGGGAGGTCTGAGGCGTCTACTGTAGGGGTCTAGGACTTTGCTGTTGATTCCGCCCTCCAGAGACTAATCTCTTCAGCCTTGGCATTCGAGGCTCTGCGGGGCCAGTTGTCACCGATTACACCCGAAATGTCAGCGGGCATCAAGGGGCCCGCATAGCACGAACCAAGGAATGCTGACGGCTTTTTGGACAACGGATTCATCGGTGCCCTTGCTGCCTTTCATTCTCTCAGCCCTCACTGCTGTCCGCACTTGCAAGCTTTTCCTGGTCATAGCTGCCCTCGTCTGATCATCGCACCTCCAAGGAACTGAGCAGTTCTTCGGCATTGGTTCCTCAGACGCAACCGCAACCGAAGCCTTGAGTGAAGCTGGCGAAGTCCCAGGCCCCAAGCCTTTGAATGTTCCTCCTCACCCAGGCTTTGTCAACTATGCCGGGGATGGCTTCTCGACAGGCACATGAGCTTCAGAGACGCAGAAATGAGGCCAAACAGGAACCTCGAACGATACTTCACACGGCCGAGGAAAGTTCGAGCCCACCACGGGCATGCTCAATTGGTTCTTTCAGTGCCTTTTCTGGTCAAGATCAAGTTCAGACCTTTTCCAAAAGATGCAAACTGACAGCCTGGCCCCCACCAATCCCCAGCATCTCAGGTGGGCCTTCTGCTCCTTGGCTCTAGAGGAGCCTTGAGTTTTGGCCTGTAAGAGTGTGTGCCC